ATATATGTATATATAACTATATTATAGTTACAGCTATTCCTTTTCCATGTAGATTTGCTCTATGATGATTAAAATTTAGTTCTCCACATGGGACTGCAGTGAGGGAAATGAACTCAGCCTGTTGAAGCCACTGACCCTTCAGAAACTATTAATAGATTTTACAGAAATGACTTATTAAGTTCATGTATTACAGAGTTTTTTCCTCTTCCAGGCGAAGCATCGGAGCTTTGAGAATCAGCAGAAAATAAATGAACAAGACAATAAGCAGGTATTGCCAGAAGCTCAACACTAAATATTTTGGCCTTTTTGATAATTTATTAATGCAGTATTGAAGTTATGTGCCACTTTACAACATAGTCTAAAGAAAAGTTTTGCCCAGGACAAGATGTAATGGGCACAAAGTGAGACACAGGTTCCCTCTAATCACGTGGAAATACTTTTGACTGTGCATGTGAAATTCTACTTGATGTGCATAAGCATTCTGTTTATTTTACGTGTTTGTACATCTGTGTAAGTGTTTGTGTGTGTGTCATACATTGTTTGGGTTTTTTAACAGGACCATCTCAGTGTTTTTGCATCGATTAACCCACTTGCTTCAAGTATCACTTCCAGTCTGGCCTCCAGTGTTGGATCAGACAGTTCATCTCCTACAGCTGTCTCTGCTATCAGTGCCAAAGCTCTCCCATTCTATTCCAGCAGTAACACAGTTGAATCCATCATAGGTAAGTCTTAACATTTAATCTAGGATTGTACATTGCTGTATTACTCAAGTTCTTGTGTCTGCAGAGGTTTAAAGACAGTAATATCGTACACATCTGCGTTACTGTATGTAGCTAAATGTAATGAAAGGCAGTATCTGAAATTTATTTTAAATGGTTTCACTCAAAATCATTGGTTCTCACAAGATCGCCAATGTGAGTGTAAGAATGAGTGAATGGGACATTTAAACTGGAATTTTGACATTGGGATTGGCCAGGGATTTAAAAAAAATGTGTAAAAGCATCAAAATACAACTGATTGTGCTAGATGCAGAAGTACTGTCTCCTCAGTTTCTGTTGGTGGGCTGATGATTAACTTGGCAGGTGCAATTACAGATCATGCTCACGTGAAAATGTGAGATTTTTCTTTGCCTGACTGCATGTCCTTCAGTCTGGTGGTTTGGATGTTCGAGGATAAAGTGGTTTGTTCACACTGTGCAGACCAGATATGAAAGGGCACAAAGAGGAGGAGCCACCGTTGCTTTCTGCATGCACAACAGATTCTGGGAAATACATCCAAAATTCCTGTCATCAGCCCAGAGCCTTTCCCATGCTTCCAAACCAGCTAGGCTGTTTATGTGGGAAATGGTAAAAGGAGATAAACATTTCAATAGTAATTAGACACTGGGAACTTCAAACCTGGTCATGGTATTCCTCCTGTGTTCTCACAGGTGCTGGATAGAGAGGAATAAGCACTTTTCTCAACCTGCTGACTGCATGTTTACTGACTCAAGCCAATGTGCTGCCAGTTTTTATTGCCACAGAACATGCTGAACATGTCCTTCTTCATAGTTCTTAGATCTTTCTCTGCAGTGCTGCTTTCTGATCATTTGCCCCCAGCCTGTACTGTTGCAAGGGGTTGTGCTGTCCCAGGTGCAGCATTCTTGTATTTTTCTTTGTTGAACTTCATGAGGTTTCCTCCAGTCCAGTTCTCCAGCATTTTAGAGACCCCTTCAAACAGCAGTCCTGCCCTCCAGTATATCAGCTGCACCCCTTAATTTAGTGTTGTCCACAAACTCGTTTGAATCTTGGTTTTCTTGCAGGAGGCTGTAGCAGGGAAGGTTAGGATTTGCAAGATGCTGTATTTCCCATTCTGTGGTGCAGGTCACATGAGCAGGGAGTTGCTGTGATTAGCTGGTGCACTTGGAGCTTTCTGTGTTTAAATCAGAGCGTAGCAGCGACGAGGAGACTGCAGACAGTGAGTCAGCAGTTCGGCGTGGTGAGTTAGGCATTTGCTCTTCTCATTCTTCTAGGAGAGAAAGCCAGGCAAAATATGAAGTGATGCATCTTTTCCTGCAGCCTTACACGTGTGTAGCTTGTTTGCTTTAAAGGTTTATGTGATGATCTGTGTGTTAGAACAGAAAAGAGATTTGAAACCATTTGTCAGTTTTAGAATTAGAATGAGCAGTATTTTAGGGTTTCTTCTATGCATCTAATGTAATTTCATCAGCTTAGGGTTAGTATTTTAAGATGTACTATGGAATGTAATCACATTTTTGTCAAGATAAACGTTGCTTCTGGAATAAGTAGAGGCTAGTTCCTGTGCCAAGTTACTCATAACAGTAAAGCATGATCTAGTTTGCATATACTACATAGGGTGCTAATTCACAGTAATTTTAAAATTGTGATATACTGAGCAGGTGTTGCAAGGCCATTTAACAGTGATATGCTGTGTTTCTCATGTCTCAGCATGAGGAGACTTGTTTCTTCTGAGTTAGAATATACCTCTGCTGTCTATGGATGTTTTCTAAAGCAATTTCCAGTTTGTCAGCAGATCATGACATACATCCCTGATGTATGTGCAAGTATACTTCATGGTAACCGCAGAGATTTTGGGGTTTTTATTTATATACATATAAATTCTTTTTCTGGAGTTCTGCTTTGTGCACATACAGCATGGCATTGAAAAGAAAGTCCTGCATATAATCTGAAGAGAGCAGAAAATGAAGGCATTATTGTAGAACAGAAAGGAAATACATAGTGTTCTTGCAGGAAGTGGGGGATTGAAGAATCACAAAAAGGAGAATAGTTAAAAGGTGCAGCAAGGGAAGGGCTAGGTGATTGTGGGAAAAGGAGGTGAATAGGTCTGGATAAAGGACCAGGGGAAATGCAGGTGACTTACATTAGCATGGTCTGAGGAAGCTTTGTCATGCAGTGCGGTCTGTGGCCCTTTATTGTGATCTCCTGGGTAGCTCCAAGCCCTCTCTGTCTGCACCCTGATTAATACTCCCCAGGAGCTGAGTACAGGGGAATTGGGAATAAATGTACCAATCAGACAGAACTAGAATTTAGCATTGTGGCTTGGACAGTACATTGGAAACTGAGGAAAGATGGAGTGGAAGAAGGTGTATTGTTGCAGTCTGCTCCTGTCAGAGTCAAGGGTAATTGGTGGAGTTGTCTGGTTTTGTTCTGGTAAAAAAAGGAAAGAAGCATGATCTGAGAACATAAAAGCTGGGGGGTATTTGAAGTTCTCCTGAGAATTTAAAAAAAAAAAAGAAAAAAGAAAGAAAACAAAATATTTTTGAGAGAATAGAGATAAGCGAAATTCCGAAGGAGACAGATGTGGAGAGGAACAAATAGGGAATGGGCAGCAGTGAAGGGAAATGACTCAGGTGGTAGTTGGGAGAAGGTGCCAGCATTATACTCTGCCCTGTTGCCTGTGTTAGGTTCTGGGCAGACCTCCTCTGAGGCTATTGTGGTTACTTCTATTAGATACCCAAGCATGGGGATTTTGCCTGTCTGGGAGACCTGTTATTCAAGGAAAATTGGTGTCTCTCCATTTGCTTACCATATATGTTGTGATCTTAAGATGCTGTCTGTGTTCTCCCTGCATTCCACTGACTTCCTGCCATATGATGTAGAATCTGAGAGGGCTGGAAGGTGTCAGAAATTAAGCTTTGAAAATCTAGATAATAAACAATAAGGAGACATGTCATCCCATTTTGTGATGAGGGAGGACGAGTGTGACAGAACGAGTCAAGGCCTCAGGTGAGGCCAACGTGACAGGAGAGTGATTTAGTAAGGGTGCAGGCTTAGATTTTGTCTACTGTTTGAGCACTATGATTCATGTCAGCCCCATTGTGTTTTGTTCCTGCTTCCTGTACTGACGTAGCGACGTAGTGACCCAGCCACTGCACAGATATTTATAACACCTGGGTGATGTGGGGAGTTACAGGAGCTTGGAAAAATGTTTGCTTCCCTATTTAATAGAAGGACAGTGCTGATTATTAAAGCCTCTCTTTTAATGCCTGGGAGAATTTTGAATTTTTCAAAAGAAAGTGGAACAGCTTCACTTGGTGAAAGAGAAGCATCTCTCCCAGAATGTCCAGCAACATGGTGATGAGAGGTTTGCTCTCACAGATGTGTGGTGTTTTTGCACAAAAGGTGTTGAGACAGGTTTGCACGTGTGAAGATTTGTTAGTGGGTTGCATATCTGATGGCACATAATGGTGCACACTGTTTCCACATAAATATAGAAACATAAGAGAAATAGAAGAAATGGAACTGGCCCAGTGGCCAGGTGGAAAAAGAAGTGACAAGCATGGCTGACAAACATTCTCTCTTGGGCATCTTCTCCTGTGCAGAACCTGGTTCTCTCCCACCTAATACTTTTCCTCTATTACCTGTATTAACTATAGATGTTCATCAAGATCATCCCAAACTCTTTATGATGTTATTAGTGTTAGTGGGAGCACACTTCAGTCAGTGGATGGTCTTGCATGCTAACTTGTTGCTGAGCTGTGTCCAAAGACATTATTCCTCCCTCTAATGTAAATCAAAACCTGCAGTCAGGACTAGGTGAAAGAAAGTGTGATGGTCACTTCCCTGAGAACCTACCGTAAAGTATAAATACCATACTCAAAGCCAGGCTGGATAAAGCCTTGAGCAACCTGCTCTGGTGGGAGGTGTCCCTGCCCAGGGCAGGGGTTGGGGCTGGATGATCTCTAAGCTCCATTCCAACCCCTAAAATTCTGTGATTCTAAGATGCATAACCATGCTGTGAGGGTTGGCAGGTGTCAGAGAGTGAGCAGAAGAAAAAGAAAGGAAACATTCTGCCCCAGAGCCTCTGGAAGGCACTAGCAGAACAGTTGGGTGAAAGGGTAAGATGAGATGGCTGCTGTATTGCTGGAAAACTTTGAAAAGCCCTTCAGGCTGATGGCAAAGAGAGACCTTCACTCCCTTGTGACTGTTGGACACCGAGCTGCTTTGTCAGTACTGCTGAAAGAAAAGGATTATCGTGCAGGCGTAACTCTGTACTAAAAGAAGTTGTGTTGCTTTTGAGACCCAGACTGCTAACTCTTAATAAAAATTTTCAAGTTCACATCTAAAAATTCTTTACACAGGTGATCACTATCACTGACCACAGTGACTGGGATAGTCACTTTTCTGCTGTAAAGTCAGTGTTTATACAGACTTCTCTCCTGTCTTCCTGACTGTGCAGCTGTTCAGCATTTGTGAAAGTATAGGCACAAAGGGATAGATTCATGAGTTGCACCCCTTTCTGCACAGAAAAGAAGTTAAGAGGAAGAAGGGGAAAAATATCCATCTTCTAACACCTTATAAGCAGTGGACTTCTAAAGGAATACAGTGATAAGAACTATTTCATGACATGGCCCAGATAAATTTTAGACCAACATAGGCCTTAAAATGAAAGGCAGTCTAACTTCTGAGTCTAA